TAGCTGGCAAGCACTGCGTAGGCAGGAGGATGGAAAGCTACATTTTATTTTCTAGCAGACTAACGGGTTGAATCAGGAACAACCAACACCTTCCGACTCTGAAGACAGACTAGTGTTTTTACTGCTGTTGCAACTCAAACTCATTGTTCACCAGCTAATTTGAATCCACTCACCTGATGGTAAATACTAAGTCTGGACACTGCACAAATGTTTGTAGTTTATACTGCAGACTCAGCTCTGGGGTCCGAAGCAAATGTTTGGGTTTGAAGCAAACAGGTCTATATTCACGTTAGCCACGCCAGAGAGAGTCGTATGTAGATTCTGTCATTCTAGATGGATTGTGCTCTTCGGCCTTCTGTCCAAGAAGTACTTACAATCATCCAATTTAAGTAAATTAAAACTGCACACATGTCCCAGTTAGACATATCCTGAAAGTAGATTGCTGGCAGATGAAAAAAGCAGCAGAAACAAAACCTGAGAAAGAGCCTGTGGCAGGCCCAACCCTATTGGGAGGTCGTATACCCAAGTGGCCGGCTAGCTTGCCTTGCCCCTCCACTCGCTAGCTCCTCTGGGCTTCTGGCCTCTCTCTTGGCTGCCATACATTTGGGGGGAGGTGAGCACGCTAGCAGGGAGTGAGAGATTGCAGAGGGATCTGGATAGGTTACAGGGGTGGGCTAACAGGGACAGGATGCGTTTTAATACGGACAAGTGCAGGGTGCTGCACGTGGGCAGTAGGAACCAGCAGCACACTTACACAATGGGGAACTCCCTACTTGAGAGCACGGAGGCAGAAAGAGATCTTGGAGTCATTATTGACTCCAAGATGAACATGGGCCGACAATGCGAGGTCATGGTTGGCAGGGCTAACCGGACCTTGTCGTGCATCCACAGGTGCATCTCGAGTAGAGCCAAGGAGGTGATCCTCCCCCTCTACGCGACGCTGGTCAGGCCACAGCTGGAGTATTGTGTCCAGTTCTGTGCGCCCCATTTCAAGAGGGATGTGGACAACATGGAGAGGGTCCAGAGGAGGGCCACCCGCATGATCCGGGGACAACAGGGCAGACCCTACAGTGAGAGACTGCGGGACCTGAACCTATTCAGCCTCCACAAGAGAAGGCTGAGGGGGGACCTGGTGACCGTCTATAAACTCACTAGGGGGGACCAGAAGGGTTTGGGGGAGACGCTGTTTCCCCTAGCGCCCGCTGGCATAACAAGGAGCAATGGGCACAAGTTGATGGAGAGGAGGTATAGATTGGACATCCGCAAAAACTACTTCACAGTTAGGGCGGCTAGGAGCTGGAACCAACTTCCAAGGGAAGTGGTGCTGGCCCCTACCCTGGGGGTCTTTAAGAAGAGGCTGGATGCCTACCTGGCTGGACTCATTTGAGTCCCGTTTCTCTTTTTGGGTTTTTTTTGTTGTTGTTCTCCCGCCCTGGCGGGGGGTCGGGCTAGAAGATCTATTAGGTCCCTTCCGACCCTAAATCTATGAAACTATGAAACATTCAGGGAATTAATTATGCGGGCGGTGTCCTGAGACTTGGAGCGAAAGGGGGATTTTTTTGAGCCACTTGGCTTCCCCTTTCTCACTTGTCCAGGTCTTGACCCTCTTGGCTGGGGCCTAATTTGCTCTAGCTGCTCCCTTTGGACCTAGGCCCACTTAGCCTGGCCTCAGCTCTTTGGTAGCAGCCACACAGTTGGGAATTAGGCTCCACCATCAGGCTCCGGGCCTCCCAGTCTTAGTGGATGACCCTTGCCCACAAGGGGTGAAAACACGCAGGGTGCTTTAAGGCGCCTACAATGTGAACTCCACCTCCCTTCACAGTCACTTCCAGTCTTCTGGACAAACTAACAAAAATTCAAGCAACCACTTTCCACCAAAAACTACCACCTCTCCAGGCATTCACAACCAAGTTGGCCCTGAACAGCAACCCTTTATCCCTTCTGGGTCCTATGCAGGGGGAAAGAAGTGGGGAGGAAAACTCTCAGCCTTTACTCACCAGGACTCCCCTTTTAGCTTCCAGGCTCTGCTGCAACCCACCTGGGGGATCCTTCTCTTTCCCCAGCTGGGGCTGGACTGCCCCTCCAGCCTAAGGGCAAGCCTATGTACCATCCCTGAGCCCCTCTGGCTCTAGGGCACAAAATGAGGTCTCCAAACCTCTCCTTTTAGCCTCATCCCGGTCCTCCAGATGTAGACAGAAACACAAACCAAAAGCCTCCAGGCTGTAAGTTGCCCATCATCTACAACACAAGTACTATGCCCCTTCTCTACTGCAATCTCTCCAGCATAAGTACCTGGGAGGTTCCTAGGCAAGTGCCACCGTGCTGGGGAACAAAGCAGACAGCATCGGTTCTCCAACCACTTCCACTTGCAGGAGCTCGCTCTCTCTCTGGTGGCCACCAGGGTTTCTCCTTGGTGACCCCAGCCGTAGCTTATCTGGGCCAAAACCCTGCCACCAGCCCATCATGTGGCTCGTGCAGGTGTTCCCTATTCCCTGTTACCCCAGCAGCTGGAGAGCCCTGCAGACTAAACAGGGCTCTTTAGCCAGGCAGCCTCATCCTTAAATTAGCAGGCACCCTTTAGTGCTCTGCTACAAGGAGAAACACAAGAAAGCATCAGGCAGAGAAAGTATCACAAGCTACTGAGTAGACCACCAAGCCTGTGGTCCTGTTGGCCTCCATGTTGCCAGGAGACCTGTAATGCAAAAAAAAAAACTTGGTCTTTTCGGGCAGTTAAAGAATGAGTAATGCGTACATAGTCATGGGGAACTGGTCAAAACTTACGGTGTGCTGCTACAGTGCAGGCTCCAAGAAGAAAAGAGGATGACTCACATTTTAAATGGGTGTAGTTAGCTAGTGGAATCCCAACCAGATGCTAAAAAACAGAAGAAACCCCAAACGCAGCCAAAAAAAATAAAAATAAAATAAAATCACTCCTGAGGGGTGTGATTTTTAATAAAATAAAAATTCCAAATTAAAATAAAATCATACAGGGGTGTAGGTTGTAGCCGTGTTGGTGTAAGGACATAGGCAGACAAGGTTCTTTGGGTAAATCTAATATCTTTTATTAGACCAACTTAAATAGTTGGGGGGGAAAAACATTTGGAAAAAAAAAGCTTACTAATTTTTTCCCCCTAACTATTTAAGTTGGTCTAATAAAAGATACCAGATTCACCCAACAAAATTGTAAAAATTCAAGTTTTGTTAACCCAAAGCAATTCCAAATTAATAAGTGTCTCTCTCTATATATCTATTTTATATATATATGCAGCAGACTGATCCTGAGGCATGAACCCCTATGAGAAACCAGACTGGGGGGAGTTCATTTAGGCTAGGGCTATATATATCTGCTGCAGACCCTAGTTTCCCCCTAATTTTCCTTATGGTCCAAATGGAGTCTAATGAGCCACTCTTGCATCCAGGAGTCTAGAGGAATTGAACTTCAGGTTTCTAACACTGCCAACAAACAGTTCCTGAGCTGGGAAGGAGACCGAGACACAAGCAACTGAGAACTGATGAGTGGAACCATGTTAGCGAGGTGTACAATATTAACAGCAATCACCAGCATTACAATATTCAGATCTCTCTCTAATTTTTAAAGATTGGTCTAAATCAATGCTCCAGGCCTTACTCCCCTCAAAGTCTGGGAAATTTGAGATCCAAATTCATGTCTCAAATTATTCCCATTAGAAGTAATAATTACCATGCACATCAGGGCAAAAATACTCAGGGGGTTGTAGCCTGCCTTGTGAAAAAATGGCTTTTGCTATTTTTCTACCCTCACTTAAATGCAAGAAGGAAGCTAAGGATTCAGGGGGAGATTTTTCCAAGGTGGAAAGAGGAATTGGCCCCATTTCCCATCAACTTTCCATGGGAGCTGGGGTCCTTACTTCCTTATGCTCCTTCACAAATCCCCAGAAACCATCACTGGCAGCAGCATCTCATTAGCTAGCCATGCAGGCATAGCTAATTGCAGCTGTAGTTTTGGTATTGAAGCTTTCCCCACCATTCAGGTCTTTGCCCCCAAAATGTGGCATACACACCGTCTCCATATGCATCCGCAGCTCCTCCGAGAGGGAAAGATTATCTGCTTTCACTACCACCGCACGCACGTAGTCGCCTTCTAAACATTGCATTGCAAAATGTGAAATGGATGCAGAGGCGACTGGCTGGCTGGTGGCTGCGATAGCTTACGCGCTGCAATGAAAAGCCCCTGGAGAGAATGAGGGACCCGAGGACAGAAAATTAAGACTACCACTTACTATAACTGTCATCTCTTCCTCCTAGATGATGATTCCAGAGCAAAACATGATTTGGGGTCCAGTAGGTATCAAGACACTTCATTTAAGGATAGATATCTCTATTGTTTGCAGTGACCCTGTGAGTTTTCAGGGTGCTAGAAGTCTGTCCATAACAGTGAGATATATACTCCAGCCACTTGAAATTTGAGATTTCAATAGAGAGACCACCAAAAAAAAATCCTGATTTTAATCAAGGCCTTTCATTGGTTCATAAATTTAATTCGCTATTCACTAAGGCATTCAGGGAAAAGAAAGAGAAGATAAAAGCTGTAATTCATGGTATAAGGCCCACAAGCCTCAACAGATGTGATCCCTCATAATGAAGCATGTGGGCCTAATTTGGCATTACTTGCTACCAGGAGGATCTTCTGCAGGATATCTTACTAAATCTATGTTTGGTTGGCACCTGCGCCTTGTTGAAACTGGCATAGTACCTTGGAAGTGGGCATGATGCCACTCTGACAGATGGGCATGAGAGCAAATATGATGCCAGAGATCTAGTACTGCATGTGCAGCAACCTTTATGTAGCAGGGCTAGTCTCATCCCAGAACAAAACACAGTCCACACCTACACAATTGCTCAGGCCTGGATTAACTTTGAAATCCAAGAATGGCATCTGGAGTGGCAGGGCTGCAAGTCACGGTCTTAACGAACCTAAATGTGAGACCCGCGGGGGGTTACAAGCAGCAGGATGCTCCTACCTGACACAGTTCCCAGAAGGACATATCCACAGATGTCAGTCGAGATGGAGCCAACTTCTCAGCCATGTACACTGGGGTAGAAGCCATAAGCCACACCTGGAAAAAATAACTGTTAAAATGCTTTGAACAATGGCATTGTAACTTAAAGATCAGGTATCCCCAGCAGCAAGTCAGCACAACTACATTAAATTTCCAAAGAACTGTTCAATGTTATTATTCAAGTTGAGCCAGCTGGCGATTTGGCCCAGTATACTTAGTTTTTTCCATCAAAACAGTAACTGATTAAAAAAGAGAGAGAGAGAGAGGAATTTATATTCAGAATGCACAATTTTATTTTATTTTTTTGACAAATTCTACCCGGATCCCATTCAACTCCATTTTAAGCTTTCCCCATTGAGATTCCTGGAGCGTAAATCAGGATAAAATCATGCTTGCCCTACCTGATGCTCCTCTATAATTTTGTAGATTATAAAACTATTCCTCTAGTAGCTCTTGTTAGCAAAAGCTCTCAATGTTTATATTCAGGCTGACATTATGCCGTTCTTTTATAATAAGGATCTTTCTCTTCTCCTGGCCTTTTATGAGCTACCTATAAATGCCTCTGAAAACTTCTTTATGTTAAAAGGACCATAAAAATCAGAGATAGGCCCAAACCAGAGTGTCTGGCACTGGATTCAGATTAACACAGGACATTCTTAAAACTCAGAAATGAATATTTGGGACACGAACCCAAACAGCCTTGAACTTTCAGGGCACTGAGATCCTCTACTGTAAATTGGTCCTTAAAGGAAGGAATTTAGAGATAATATATTACATGATGTTACAACCGTTACAAAATTGATCAAAACCACAAATTATTCCCTATTAAAAAGGTCAGTTACTGCCAAAACTACAATTAAAAAGCAGCACGAGTCAAGTTCAGTAGAAGTTAGGACGTGACCCAGATGTGCGCTGGGTTAGGAGCCCTGACAAATCTGTTTTGGGCTTCTTCCTGTCTGGAGAATTTGAGAGCAGATTATCTGAATTTCTAGACACAAACCACTTCAGTTATAAAAAGTTGTATTTTCCCCCTTGGTAAATAAGATTTTCCCTCTTGGTAAACACGAACTGAATTATTGTTCTGGCTTATGAATGACTTTATTGATTACATCCTTAAAGCACCTAAGAGAGCTCCTTTAGACTTCCCTCACCATCCTTCCTTTAGCAACAGAAATATTTGAAAAAAAATCTTTTCTATTTTGTTACAACAAAATGAATGACTAAAAATATAGAGATTATTATTATTATTTTATTTAGTTATTTATTTATTTTTACAGAGGTTGAATCATTTTACTGTAATGATTCAGAAGATCGATGTGCACAGGGTGGATCCTCCACTAGTGTAAATGCATATAGCTCCATTGAAGTAAAAGGACTTAAATGAACCATAGAAGTGTTCCTACGAGAATAACTGTTCCTGCAGTAACGTCTGAAGAGAGGGGGCAAAAATCTTGCTCACGTTATTCATATTGATGTCAGTGACTTGCCAGTAAGGGAAGAAAAATGGAGTGCATAACTATCACCTTTTAAAAGAAAACTCATGAGTAAGTGGAGCAGGCTCCTGGGAATGAAAGATGCCACCCACTGCATGGTGGCGACGAAAAAGTATTTATCAACAGAATTCTAATAAAATATTGTGCAAAACTCCCAAATTGCACCAATTGCAAAAGCGGTAGTGGCCCTGCATCCTGAAGTGCATGAATGGCAATTTGCATGATATTCATTGTGCTAAGGTTGAAAACACCATTAACATCTTTGCTCTAAACCTAACAGACCAATTTATTCTAACTGGCACTAATAAAATGTATCATTAGCAAACAGGGGTCAGTGGAGAACATGCAGAAAAATAACAAAGAGTTCAAGAAAAGGATTAAATCTACTTGTAGCTGGCAGTGAACAACTAGCTCACCATAACACTATTCTAACAAATTTAATCTATGAAATGCTACCGATGTAAGCATAAATTACTGTTCAGCGTTAAAGCCAAGCAGTTGGAGAAACAGAACACGATTAAATTAGCTTGTTACTCAGACCATTGTTAATGATAGCAAATGTAAGATATCTTTGTGTCGCTATCTTCAGACCTCACAAGATATCTAAGTATTTATCCGTAAATTTGTAAGCCCCATCCTGATAAGAGATGCTGTCGATTGGAACAGAGGTCATTTTACTGATATTTCCTTTGTGTCTTTAAATAATTCCTTTGAATGGACTATGACCTGAAGACTTGGAGATGTGAGGAATTTCTAGATACCAATATATTCTGTTTGGGTACATATATCCAGCCCTCTTCACCATGGTATCCATACCCCTTAAAATCATTCATGTGTTTTTATCTTCACACACCAGCCTAGTAAGATAGGAAAGCAAAATTCCCAGTTTCCCAATTAAAAAAAAAAAGAGGCAAAAGGACAAAAAAAATAAATAAATCAGTGACTTGTTCAAGGTCAGGAAGTCAGGAGTCAACCTGGGTACTGCACCTCCAGTTCCTCCATCCCGATACAGTCTCCTATCCATCACACCATTGTTCATGCCTGCAGCCCACCCTATGTTTTAAGTCCTAAAGAACAGTGCTGAAAGCATTATCATGTAGTTGCCTATCATCTCAGCATTTCTTCGTGCCTCCAGGTTTGTCTTTCTGAATACACTTGGCTTAGATTATAAGCTCTTCAAGTCACGGCCAAATTTTCATTCCGGGTGTGCAGCCCCTACTCCCGGGAAAGCTCTGGCCCTTGGCTGTGACTTCTAGGCATTATGGAAATGCCAATAAATAATAGTGCCATTGACCGTACAGGCAGAGGAAGTCTAGGAGACGTGGTCCTTCCGCGAGGAAGGAGACTATGTCCAGACGAGAGCACACTGAGGCTGCCTGCAGACGAGCGCAGCCACTTGTTTCTCTGGGGACAGGTGGCAGCAGAACACCTTGCATCACTGCTACTTGTTCCTGGGACATGCCTGTGCCACATGTGCTCTGCTTCGTGGCAGATTACCCCATGTGGGGTAGGGGAGGCAGGGGGTAGCAACTGTGCTGGCTCCAGCAGCCTTACCTGGGGGCCTCAGGGAGCTGCAGCCATGGCAGTCTTGCAGCAGGGAGCCTGGCCAGCAGCTGGAGATGACTCTGGCCATCCAGGCTCTGGTTTTTGGTGGCGTGCACTGCCACCCTGCTTTTTTTTGGCATGGATTTTTTGACCCCAGGAGATCTGGGGGTCAATGCAAACCCAGCCCCCCATTCTGCAAGGTAGCAGCATAGGGCACTGGAGCACTGTCAAGGATGGGTACAAACTGCTGAGGAAGGACAGACAGGGGAGAGGAGGAGGAGGAGGAGTTGCACTTCATGTAAAAGAGCCATATGATTGCTCAGAGCTCCGGTATGGAACTGGAGATAGGACTGTTGAGAGGCTCTGGGTTAGGGTCAGAGCAGAGAGCAACAAGGGTGATGTGGTGGTGGGGTCTGCTGTAGACCACCAGACCAGGAGAAAGTGGTAAATGAGGCTTTCTTCAAACAGCTGGCAGATGTTTCCTGATCACAGGCCCTGGATCTCATGGGGGACTTCAATCACCCTAACATCTACTGGGAGGGCAATACAGCAGTGCAGAGGCAATCCAGGAAGATTTGGAGAGTATTGGAAACAACTTCCTGGTGCAAGCGTTGGAGAGACCAAGTAGGGAACATGCTCTTCTTGACTCACTGCTCACGAACAGGGAAGAATTGGTGGGGAATGTAGTAGTGGATGGCAACATGGACAGCAGCGACCACGAGAGGATTGAGTTCAGGATCCTGAGGGAAGGAAGGACGGGGAGCAGCAGTGTAAGGCCCCCGGACTTCAGAAAGGCAGACTTCAACTCACTCAGGGCACTCATGGGCAGGATCCCCTGGGAAGCCAGACAGGGGAGAGGTGTCCAGGAGAGCTGTGTGTACTTTAAGGCAGCCTTACTGAGAGCACAGGAACAAACCATCCTGATGTGCAGGAAGACTAGCAAGTCTGGCAGAAGACCAGCTTGGCTTAGCAGGGAACTCCTCAGTAAACTACAAATCGCAAAAAGGAAGCTTGTAAGAAGTGGAAACTTGGACAAATAACCAGGGAGCATTGCTCGGGCATGCAGGGATGAAGTCGGGAAGGCCAAAGCGCAATTGGAGTTGCACCTAGCAAGGGATGTGAAGGGTAACATGAAAGGTAAATTAGGACCTACTGTCGGCATCTAGGAGAACCTCCCCTGTGTCTGCTGCTCCTTACTATGGTATAAATATATAGCAAAGTAAAATCCAGGATACATTTCTTTGTGTAATCATGTTGTCTGTCCACACCCTCAGCCCCTACAACACCTGCAAATTCAAGGCAATAATCAACCATCACGCTGTGGCCTGAAATGCATAAACATGATAGCTAAATCCATTATTGCTCTGGGAGGCAGAGGGCATGCACTGCACTGGAGCCGCTACCATCAGTATACATGATATCTTCTTGTATTCCAGTGCTCACGAGTAGATTTGTTCTTGTTTAACTGTGGCCCATATATGAAAACAGAATGAACTGAGCTCAGAGAAATCCAGAAATACTGCGGGAGGCATGAGTTTTCTAAACAGCTGCGTGCTGGAACGGTAGACAAACAATCTTAAACTGTTTCATGCAAAAAACTTCCCCGACTGATAACATCCCCAGCCTGCTATCAATGGTGCTTTTATCAAGTGGAGACTTTTGTGCAGAGTGGCTGGGCAAAGCATTGCTAAAGCCAAGGCTCTTTTAAATGATAAGCTGAATGAATCAACATTCAGGCAAAATAAAAGGACGAGAGATGAGCCAGATTTTCTTGCATGGAGGCTGCAATAAAAACAAGCTGGCTGCTATTTTTCCTCTCTCCCTGGCTCAGATGTGTTTACTTTATGTATTTGATTTATTTATTTTTACACATTAGTGGGTTTTCTATATACTAATATTTACAATCCAAACAGTCCTCCAAAAGCAGTTTGGATTATCATTCAACACAATGCGAGATAAGAGTTTCACACTTGTAAAGATTAAACCACAATAAAAACAATGGAGTATGCAGAACGTACA